AAGGGGGGCAAGCGTTAGTGACTGTCCGACAAACAATATCCAAGACCCTGGAACCGCACCACCCCGCCCCCGCCCCCACGGGCACTGCCCAGAGGGTGGGGCCGAGCTTTGGGCCTGGGAGGCAGGGCCAGACCTGAGGGCTACTCTAAAGGGTCCNTTATGTAAGGGCTCATGCCGCTGTGGCTCATTTGTCCGCCCCCCCTCCTTCCCCAGCCTGGCATGGCGCCAGGAGCCCGAAAACCCAGGGCTCCAGAAATCAATCTCGTGGTGACTGATTAAGCCCTGTTTAGAACTAATTGCTCTTTCGTGTGTGGGGAGAATAAATTACCTGCTTTAATTTCGTGTCTTTAAAATGCAACTGCAGGTAGAGAAGACTGTTAACCCTTTGCTGGGAGGGCTTGGCCAGGGAAAGCAGAACAGGTTGGGCATCCCCAAAGTGGGTAGAGGCCTGAGACTTTTCAGAGATTTCCCCCAACTCTTCTGAGCTTCTACGAACTCCACAGAGGCCTTTGATCTCAGCAAGCCCCTCAAAACACATCCATGGGCATGAAGACCTCCAACACCACTTCTGCTCAGTGCCCACCTTCATGTTAGAGCAGCTCTCTGGCCTGCCCTTTGGGTTGCAAACCACCCTCGAAGCCCCTTCCTGGTGAAACCCTCACAAATCTCCACAAAGCAGGTGGCATAATGTCCACTTAGATAAGAAGACCAAGGCTCAGAGAGGTGAAGTGGCTTGCCCAAGGCTACACAGCCCTTTCTGCTGTCCCAGGTACTTCCCTGGGCTTCACCCTTTGTCACCCCTGCACATATACTATTCTAAATGTTTTTTTGTGCCAGTCTGGAGTGCTCCCCATATGACTGCCTGTTTTTGCCAGGCCTGTCCTGGGGACAGAGGAAGGCAGGGGAGGCCACAGCAAGGCTGACTTCACAAGAACCTGTTGGGCCTTCCATGCCCCACCTCTGGGGGAGCCTCCCACCTGGTTGCCTTGACCTTCTGCCTCAGGTACTACAGTGGAAACAGCATGGGCTTGGGTATCAGAAGGCTGGTCAGGTTGCCTGGCTCTTTTCAGTCACCTAGCTATATGACTATGAGCTGTTGACTCAACTATGAGCCTCAGTGCTTTAGTGAGCCACCCTCAAAAAAATGGGTGACATTCAGTAACCACCTCACAAGGCTGTTAGGTCATTACCTGAGATGACTGTGGGTGTTTGGTAAACACACAAGGTGCTCATAAGTGGTTAAATCCCTCACCCTGTCCAGAAGACCTCACCTGTTAGGTCACCGATAGACCTGCTCTCTCTACCTCCTTGATATTATGCCGAATGTAACTGTGCTGGGCACCAACAACTCTGGAGAGCTGGCATTATCCCATCTCAGGTACCAGGGAGTGGAGGCCCAGAGGCATGATGTAACTTGCCCATGGTCCCACAGGCAGCAGTGCCAGGTACCACTCCAGATCTACCCAGCTCATGGATCTCTTAACCCTTTATCCACCCAGCTCTGTAACCACTGATCCATAAGGGCTCTCCTTCCTGCCCCCTTCCCATCAGTGTCCAGAAGGACGAGTCCTTTCTGCTGCCCAGGGTACCCTCTCTCAAGCCGAGCTCCAGGTACTGACCTTACTCTTCAGGGCCCCAAGTGCCCTATCTCTGGCACTTTCTGGTCTTCGGAGGTGACAGCTGGGGCTCCAAGGCCCCTCCCAGTGTTGCCCTGCCTGGCTTCTCCTGGGACTCTTAGAGGAGGGGAACTGGACCCCCAGGGAGTGGTGCTCCCTCAAGTAGATACCCCCTTTCCTGCTCCCGCCTCTGCACCTGCCTCCCCAGCCCCTCCCCCACACCTGTGTTCTGGGGCCTCAGAGGCCTCCGTTCTCCCATATGGGACATCTGGCTTACAGAGGCTCCACCTCCCAGCTTCTCCAGCTTCTCCAGCTGAAGGTCAGTCAGGCAATACCTCTTTGTCAATGTCACTATGTGCCAGCCTGGTTCTGAGTGCTTGGGGGGGTGGGGAGGACATCACCAAGAAGCAGTACCTACTCAGCACTACCCTCTCAGCCCTGGGCCTTGTAAGTACTTTGTCTTATGTAATCACTCTGTCAAGCTCTGTACAGTCAGGGGTTGTGATCCCTATCTCAAGATGAGGAGAGTGAGGCCCAGAGAGGTTAAGGAAGTTGCCAGGGAAGTTGCCAAGTTCGCACAGTTTAAGTGGCAGAGCCAGGTATTGATTTCAGGTTAGTCTCACTGAGTCTAAAGGACATCGCATTCCACCACGGGAGAGAGAAAGGAGTCGGAGAATTTCTAAAGCATCTTAGGAAGCCAGTACTCCAGTGCTTCTCAAGCTTTCCATGTAAACCATTCCCAGAAGCTGGCAGCATGGGAAGACTGGGGGCATGCTCAAAGGTCAAAATTCCTGACAAGTCTTGTGCTTCCTTTTTAAAATTCAAGGGAATTTTGCATTGTACTTCATAATACATCCACATTTTCTGAATAGAAATAAAAGTGTGTTAGATTACCACCAAGAACACATGCTCCAGGCCTATGAAAGTTTGTATCCTTCCCCTCTCTGTCCCCTGCCCAGCCAGGTACCCCTTGGTACTTGAGCTCCAGCCTGAAACCATGATTGATTGAACCCAGAGAGAAAAAAGGTCTTGTCCAAAGTCGCCAGGACCTCCTGGCAGAGCTGGGAATTGAGTCCAAGCCTCAGGATCCCTAGCTTGGCGCTCTTCCCCCTCCACCAAGCCTGACCTGGGGTAAGTTTCCCTCCTCCACTCTGGGCCTCAGTTTCCCTACCTGTAAACTGATGAGATCAGTGAATTGTACTGAGGGCCCTTTCAATCTGATAATGAAAATTCTTGGAATCATCCAGTCCAGAGGTTTTGAAACTTTTTTTAATATCGTGACACTCTTTTTATAAACAAATCTAATGCAATACTTGAGTGTTACACACTTAAGCCATCGGGGAATGGGGGCAGGGGTGCCTGTAACCCTGTCTGCTCAGCACCCTCCTTGCACTCTCCCTTTGGGAGGGATTCTGCAGGCCAGATGTATGGGGAGTTGAGGCCTAGATGGATGCCATGCCTTGCCCAGGGTCACCCAGGGAGGAGGCCCAGAGCTGGGTGAGGACCTTGGCCTCTGCTCAGCTGGGCTCTATACCAGGTATGCACCAGGGCTGCACCCCATGAGGGAAGCCCAGGCCCTGCAGCCTAGTCTGGCTCCTCAGGGCCCAGCCACCTGGTACCAATCAGAGCTCTGGGCCAAGATCCAGTGGCAAGAGCGGATCACATCTTGCCCACAAGGCCTCCTGGGAGGACAGAGGCCACAGAGGAGGTGAGGGAGGCAGAGGAGGGAGACGCCTCTGCCAGGCAGCAGTAACCAGGGCTCCCTCTTGAAGTCACCTAGCAACCCACCACCACAGCCACGCCCTGGCATGCCCAGGCTTCCCTCATGCCGAGAGCTGGGCCGGCTTCTGGGGCCTCACATCTCCCACAGACCTGGGGCGGGTTCCCAGAGGAGATAAGACCTCCCTAATTTGGGGCCTCAGGGGGACCATTAAGGGCACAGGGAAGGGACAGTGGCCATCCCATGCCCATCCCACTCTCCCTCAGAACCTCGACCAGGGAGGCCAGCCTCCAGGGGCCTCACCCACCTGAGAAAAGGGGCTAGCACAGGGCAAAGGGCTTGGGCTCTGGTCTTGGTCTGGATCCCAGTTTTGGCTCCAACACTCACAAACAAGGTGGCTCTGGAGCAAGACGTTTTGAACCTCAACTTCCTCAAATGTCCACCTGCTTCCACCCTTGCTTCCCTACAAGCCTCCACTATGCACCATCCAGAGTGATCCTTTCAGTGATGCTCGGAACCCTCCAATGCACCCATCTCACTCAAAATAAAGAACAGCGGCCTGGCCGTGACCCACAAGCCCCTCTGTGACCTCTCAGACTCCTCCCCTGACATTGTCAGGCTTGATCCTTCCCTCCACCCCTTGAACCTGACAGGCAGGGTCCCACCTCGAGGCCTCTGTCTCGGGGAAACACCATTCACCCAGATACCCACATCAACCGTTCATCTCCTTTGCATCTTTGTCCAGATAGCA